ACAGCCCAAGTTCCAGACTGTTTGCTTAACTGCCAGGCAGCACCCACAATTGCTACAGAGAACAGGGCAGAGAGAAGGGGGCTCTTCTCAAGGGCCTTGTTTGTTTATTTCCTAGTGAACAAAGTAAGTAGCAGCCAACATGGATGAAGCCTTGAGGATGTGCCCATTGCTGCGGCACTGAGTGCTCGACAGCCAGGAACTCGCGTGGACCCCAGGGGCCAGACTGTCTCCAGAAAGACTCAGGAGAATGCAGTCTAAAACATAGCGCTAAGAGGGGCCACCTTGTACGATGCATCATAAAGATGGATCGGGGCTGTGTGAGATGCTTCTCAGATACAGATTGCAAATTTATCACGAAGTGGTGTGGGACTTTTGTTCTCTGAACATCTGCTGATAGTCTGTTTTAGTAAAAGCTAACATCTGATAAATTCTTACCTGGCATCAGTGGTAATTTAATGTGTCAGAAGGTAGAAGCAGCAGAGTAACTGTTATTCCTGGGCTTCATATTGACCCGTATAAAAAGTAAGTTAATGTAGGGCTGTGAAGAGAAATGACCCCGACAACCAGCAGTTAGCATAATGGCTATGTCGCTGGACTCCCACGTAGTCGACCACGGTTCGCGTCCTAGACCCGGTGGGTAAAAACTCACGCCGGGTGCGTGTGCGTGTGTGCCCAAGATCCCAAGAGGAGAATGGAGAAGGGATTGTGGCGTGACCATCCCCCCTGGGGGGTGATTTCTCGCTTTCTGTCTCTATGTCTCTGTCTGGCGAGCACACACGCCTTATAGTGAAAATCTCTCAAAAAAAAAAAAAAAGAGAAATGACCCTATGATCTTGGAATTCACAGAGAATGTTGGGTATTGACACAGATACCAGACTTTAAGGACAACGATTTTAATCCACTTTAGGGCATTCTAGCAGGACTTAACTACAGAGGACATAAAAATACAATGTGGATATGGAAACTTGAATTGTCCCCATGAAGAAGAAAAGGCTGAAGGCCTTTAAACGTCCTTGACTGAGTAAAAATCTTGCATGTATTAAAGCCATATTTCAAAAATAATATGTACAAATGCTGAAATATGGATATAGTGTATAGGATAACTGATAGACTGTGAGGGGGCCTGGATGGGACGGAGTGGGGACACAAAGCCCTGAGAGGCTGGCCCACATGGGAAGGTTCTGGGTTTGTGTCTGGAGACCTCCCTGAGTACACTGGAGATGCTCATACCCAGGGTCTGGGGCAGAGTGGAGCTGCGGGTGATCGCAGTGTGAAAACCCTGTTGGGGGTGTCTGTCTGTCTCTCATGGAATAAAGGGAAAAAAAAGAATGTGTGCACGGGGTTCAATAGTGGTCCTAAAAAGGTGTGTCCGAGTCCAAACCACTAGGACAATGTGCAAAATCGGACCTTATTTAGAAATCAGGTTTTCGCAGACCAGCAAGTGGTGTAGTGGTTAGAGTGCCAGACTCCCACATGGCCAACCGTAGTTTGAATCCTGGACCCAGTGGGCTAAAATTCACGCTAGGCACGTATGCATGCCCAGAATCTCAGAAGGAGAGTAAAGGAGAAGGGATTGTGGTGTAGCATCCCCTGGAGGGTGATTTCTCGCTTTCTGTCTCTGTGGTGAGCGTGCATGCCCTATAGCAAAACTCTCAAAAAAAGGAAGAAGGAAAGAAAGAAATAGGGTCTTTGTAGGTGAAACTAACGTAAATTAGTATCTCGAGATGGAGTGTAGACGGGCCACACAGACAGACTCATAGAGGTTTTTACTTCTACCCTCTCTCAATGATGTTGAAAAAGTAATTTTTTAAATAAAAATGTATTTCCTTCATGAGCAAGTGAGAGAGAGACAGCATCCCAACATGGTCACGGTGCTGGGGCCCACCCAGCCTGCCAGCCCTGGAGCAGGCACACACACGGCTCATTCTCAGGGACGAGCTCAAGATTTCAAGAACCAGGAATCTTCCCACATGGGATTGCCTCACACGCATCGCTCTTGTCTCCCTCACCATCTTCCTGCCCCAGGAAAATCACTTTTAACTTGTCTTTTCTTATCTAAAACTTAAATGAAAGTCTCATGTAAGTCTTTTTTATTTTTTTTTTCTCCCCTTAAATGTCTGTAACAATGGATAGCGATTCACGATTTCCTCATCTATTAAAACTGCTTGCTAAGCAAGCTTGGGAAATCAATGTACTATGATTATTTTACAAGCCAGGGAAGTGTTATTTCAAATATTTGATCAAACGGGTCTGTGTAACACAGCCCCCATTTTCACTAGATTCTATTTTTTAGCAATTCCACTTTCCCTTGTTCACCATGCCTTCAGAAAATTGAAGCTCTTTTTTCTTCAAGAGACATAATTTCTCAGCAATATTTGATGTCTAAATGCAGTGAGTTGAAACACTCCTCAGATCATGCAATTCCCTTTGTGTTTCCGAAGGTGCCCACAGTTCTACAGGGGGCCATTGTAGGTGTCCAGGACCTCCTGGGGGGATGGATATTCTTTTTCTGCCCCCAAAGGAATCAGAATTACGTAAATGGACCAATCCCTGCCACCCCACTCAAGAAAAAAAGAATCCTCTGACTGAAAACCATTTGACTTCTTAACATGTTGAGACAGTGAGCTGGAATTTTCACCTCTAATCTAATTTAGGAGGGTTTTTCTATGATGCCAGCGTAATTGAGGCCATCGATGGAGGCAAGAATCGTGGCCTTTTTGGTGTCATTATTGGCTTTGCATCCCAGCGGATTAATTTAAATGGGTTTTGCAGCTAGGAGTGAGTCACAGTGATTATTATCAAGCTTGAACAAGAACAGTAAAGGGCCCCACTTTCCAGGATTGTGAGAAAGAAGTCTTTCTCAAACTTACTTTGTGGTGAAGAGGTGACTTGGTCATCCTCACTTGCCCAGGCTGTGATGTGGTTTCTTACAGTTTATAAGAGTCAGAGAGTCCACCCCGAGATGGAAGTCAGAATCCCAATTGCCTAAGTGATCTGAGAGGCAGGCTGGAGCTAAGGCAATGAGACAGCACACCAGGTCCACCAGCTGGGTCTGGCGCCATGTTGTGAGCTCTGCCTTGGAGCAAGCAGTTCAGCACCATCACGGGCTGGCAGCTGTGGAGGAGGGTGGGTGCCCAGGGCTGGCAGGGAGTTATCTTGTTAGAGTACCTGATTCCCATGAGCATGTCGAGCAAGGTTTCTCTCCTTGTTAACTAGGTAGAGGAAACTGGAGTGGCTGAATCTTCTCTCATGCTCTGGTCTGGGAAGTCTCATGGGACCTCTGGAGTGAGGATGTCGCTGTGGAGTTGCTAGGACCTACAGTCACACTGGGAACTCTGATGAGGGTGCTGGACTCTGGGCCAATGGAGCAGCCCTGTTGATGGCTTTGTGGATGCCTCTTGCTACTCGCTGCTTTCGATCTATTTGTTTAACCTTCCAAACGGGCCTCTTGGAAAAAGGAGGGCAGGGGTACTCCTATTTTACATATTAGGAGAGCACGGACTTTGCTTTCTGGGGCTTTGCCACGTGGTAGCTGGGTGCCCTTAGGGAAGCACTGAGCCTCCTGGAGCTGCAGTTGCCATTTGCACAGAATGAAGGGTCACCGTGGCCCCTGCCTTGGAGGGCTGCAGTGGGACGAGGGGAGGCGGGTGAGCACAGCCCCTGGGCCACAGCAAGAAGCAAGAACGCTTCCTCCCCTCTCCTTCCTGGTCTTCATGCCGCCATGCTCACCCTCATCATGCCCGGGCTTGACAATGATCTCTCCTTTTAGAATATTTCTTAGTGTTGCATCATTTTGAAATGAATCTTCAGAGATTAAAAGCAAAACCAGTGAACTGTCACGGAGTATTTTCAGTGATCTGCATTTCTTTAGATAGTATATAAGAAATACTTGTTTATTCTCCCTTTTTCCTTTGCTTTTATTTTTTTATCTGTGAACAGAAGGTAAGGTGTCACCTTTGGAAAGGATGAGGAAAGAAATTTGCTAACAGAATCACAGGGTGGAAGAGTAGACGGTTGTCTGGTATCTGGAGAATAACTTGCTTTATCCACTCATCTGTCCACCCATCCATCCACCCACCCACCCTCTACCCATCCATCCACCCACCCACCCACTCTCTACCCATCCATCCACCTACTCACCTACCTGCCCATCCGTCCATCCACCTGTCTTTTCAGCCACCCATAAAAGTTGCAGTATTTTGTTCAGATCAATAGTTATGTTGCTGGACTGTCACATAGTTGACCGCAGTTCAAGTCCTGGACCCAGCAGCTTGAAACTCACACCGAGCGTGTGTGTGTGTGTGCATGCCCAAAACCCTAAGAGGGGAATGGAGGAGAAGAGATTGTGGTGTGCCCGTTTCCCCCGGGGGCGATTTCTTATTTTCTGTCTCTCTCTGTCTCTCCGGCGAACGCATGCACCCTGTAACAAAAATCTCTCAAAAAAAGGAGGGGGACATAGCAAGAGGTGGTCTCTGCTCTCATGAAGCTCACACCCGCAAAATGAAGTGTAGAGGTTTACACAAATTGTATTGTTACACAATACAATTTGCTTATTTTCTTTTCAAAAGCGAACTTCTAACTTCTAAGTCAGGCTTTAGAAAGGGACTGTGTTGGCTGACAGGATGACCCTGAGAAGAAACACTTTTTTCTTTTAAAGGCTAAGTTCTGGCTCAGTAGGGGAAAAGCAAGAAAACAGTTCTGAGGTCTCCCTTTGCCTTCTCAAGAACTATATCGTGTGAGGTTGAAAGTTACAAGTACGGGGATGTGCCTTTCTAGTCAGGAGCCATCAGTAGATGGCTTGTGGACTGTGCAGAGAGCTCGGGGCCTGAGGGGAAGCCCTTTGTGTCTGGGATCCATTCCAGGGATCTCAGCATCTCAGGAGCTGGAACTCCCTTCACAGCCTTCTGTGAGATGGGCTTTGAGTATCTGCCATGCTCGTGGAATACCAGGGATTACATTTTGCTTTGGTTCCTAACACTCCTCTTCTCTTTCTCTTCCAGACCCTGCAATTGTCAATGGGGTTTATTGGTCTGAGTCCCTAAACAAAGTATTTGTAGATAACTTTGACCGTGACCCGTCTCTCATATGGCAGTACTTTGGAAGTGCAAAGGGATTTTTTAGGCAGTACCCAGGTGAGTATTCCTCTGTTGATGGCTCTGATTCACATAAATAACCCTGTAATATTTTTTCTTAGAGGTCAGGCTTAAATTTTGTCTCCCTTCCCTTAGAAGAAATGAAAGATTAAGTTCACGTCTGTCATCAGGGCACAGGACAGGAACAGTGAGGTGATTCTGCACAAGTGCACACACAGCGTTGATCACAGAACTCCTCTCTGGACCTGCATGTGGCTTCAGCTTCTTTCTCAACAGTAGTGCATAGACCTGCCTCTCAGAGTGAAGAACTGAGGTGTTAAATGTACCGTATTTAATCCTCGTGGATAAGAGTTTAGTTTATTACTGCTATTATGACTGCAGTTATGAGAATTAATATTTTGGGGTTGTTGGAAAGGTTTTTTTATACAGTGACTCAAAATTATTATTATTGGGGAGAAGAACAAGTTATACATGAGCAGAGTTAAGTTCCGACTAAAAGTGTAAGGAATAGAAATTTCGAACTTGGATTTCCCACCCCAGAGTTGGCTCAGCTCAGAGAATGAGGTTGAAATGACCGGGGCGAGTCCGATGGCAGCAGCCCCCTCCCCATCCAGCCCTCCAGCAGCATCCCCAAGTGGGTGTTTGTTAGAGCTTGCCCAGCGTGGCTCTGGAACAGGTGTTCCTTCTGGGGTCTTCCCAGGCCTCGGCTTCGCAATGGGATTTTAATTCTGGCTTGGTTTGAATTTTAATTAAAAAGGGAAGTTTTAATTTTGCTTACAAGTTGCGAAAACAGGACTCGGGGCTGCAATTGTGCCAACATCACAGCTGTAGAAATTAACAAGCTCAACCTAAAAGAAGGAAAAAACACCCTGCATAATCTTGGAGCAATTAAGTGGAGTCTTTTATGTTTTCATTAAGTAAGACTAGGCACCTGATGTCTTCCCACTCCGAGGCACAGTCTGCCAGCCTCTGCCTTGAGGAGCTGTTTGCCCTGCGCTCAGCATCTGTCCCCTGAGACTTGCCTGCCGAGGTGTCTGCTCTGCCAGATTACTCGACATTTCCCCAGAGTTGCATTCTGCGGGGCATACACGCTCCCTCCCAGAGCTCACAGAAATTTAAATAATGCACATCCTATTAAAGGTAACATTATAATAAACAGTGGCTATTAAAGTTCCAGTGTCATCAAATTGCAGTCTGCCTTGATACACTCAACAGAGACCAAATCTGATGCAGATGTTGCCGAAATCAGAGCGTGGTGGGCAAGTTGGTCTACCCAGGAAGCACTGGATAGCTCACTGTCCTGCTACACGGCATTCGTGTGAGCTGGGACAGACAGACAGACACCACAGATCATCTGTGGTCTTCAGTAGTGAGAGATCCTTCAACTATGGTCATGAGGATGTTGGAAAATAAAGGGAATCCTCACACAGTGTTTACAACAGGGGAGATGAAGGTTTTTATTAACAGTTATCTCATAAATACTTAGATTTCTGTTAGGAAATTTTTGGAAGGGTCTTGACTTTGTGAAGTCTCTACATCCTTTCTACATTAGTAAAGACATGGATCACAGGTCCCCAAAGGTGTTCCAGTGCCCATGTAGGTGTCAGATGGTCACTCAACTCTGTGCTTGGTTCTCAGTCGTGAGCACACCGCTTGCCTCCTGGCCCTAACATGAGGAGAAGAGTGATCATGAGCATTTTTGTGAGGTATATTTCTTTTTAGGATACTTTGTTCCATTTTTAGGGTGGTATGGCAGTGTGAATCAGTGGTAGGTGTGTATGTCCTTAAGCAGAGGGAACCTTTCTTCATTCTCACAGAAGTATATTCTGAGTTCTGGCTTTGTACCAGGCATCATGCGAGTCCAGAGGATAAAATGTGAAGTAGACAGAAGAGGTCTCTGCTCTCGTGAAGCTTCCTCTTATGGGGAAATGCATTCATCAGGGATTTGAGTTGCAAGAGACAGAATCCCAGTTCTAACTAGCTTCAGCAAGAAATACCATAGGATGGTTGTGTAACTTGAAATCTACAAGTTTGGGGGCACAGTTGGATTTCATATATAAAATGTGGACACTAGCCTGAAATCTTGAGCTATTGGATTTTCAATGCCTATCTCTTCAGATATTCTCCTAGAATATCTGTCTCTAGGAGGACAGACTGATTTGTTTTGACCATACCTCTGACACCAGGGGCAAGGAGAACACAGTGTATGGGCCCAATATGTGTTTGTTGAATGCATGAGTCACTTGGTGGATGGGATCCCATCATATCTACTGTCTCTCCACACACCAGTAGGAGCAGCCATCTTTCTTCAGATGCAGTAGAGCTTTGGCCTCTCTGGGGAGCTGCACATGGCTGCAGTCTGATGGCGGCTCAGTAACTTGGCTGGGAGCTGATACAGACCAGAGTTGTAGTCCCTAGTGCCCACTGTCCAGGATATCCTGCTTCTTTTGGCCATTTACCTCACGATGCCATGTGACCAGCTTCTTCTAGTTTGTAGGGTTGCCCACACTCCCATTTCCCAGGAGGCAAAGGATCACATCTGCACAGCCAATCTCATGTTGCAGTGTTAATGTATGTCCAGGTTGCAGTTTGTAGAGGTAGTCTGGATGTCACTGGCAGAGTCAGGAATGTGGTATGGGAAACACTGCACTAAATAGTGTATCACTCTGTTGAGAAAGATGCTGAAGCCACCTGCAGAAGCCATGTGTCACATCTATTTCAAATCCTGACTTCAGTGGCCTGAAAGACATGCCAGGCACATGTGCATGCATGCCCCAAATCCTGACAAATTGGAAAAACGAAGGAGAAGGAATCATGATGTGACCACGCCCCATGTGTGCAGGGGGGTGGCTTTCTTTCTTTCTCTGTCTCTGGTGAGTCCAGGTACCCAACGGCAAAAGAAAAATAAAACAAAAAGAACCCACTTGCAGGGAAACATTCTCAATCCAGAAGGAGATCAAGTGTCATTAATCCCTTCCTCAGGCTCTGACTTAAAAGAGAATGATACATTTTCTGCTTCCTGTGGAGCACATGCACAGTGCTACAGCTGGAGGAGGGAGTGAGGAGGCAGACCCAAGAAAGGGCAGTGTGGTCAGTGGTAGATCCAGGTGTAGAGATTGGCAGAGAGCACGCCCCTCAATTCTACTCAGGAAACAGCAACTGAAGACCTACCACCGGGTCAGTGGATTTAAAAAACAAACAGAAAAGCACAAGCAATTCTGTTTGTATTGGATTCAGCTTAGTTCTTTGTGGAATTGCAAATTGGAGCATTGCTGGCTTCACCAGGGATGTAATTTCACTGTGTCAGAACCGTGCCATCCTAAGGGTGCTTGGCTTTATAGAAAGAGGCGTGTAGGCTGTGTTTTAGATACATTGCATTCCTGTCCCTTAGTGTACAGTAACATGTCAGAGCCATGTTATCTTTATTGCCGAATGCCCTGCAATCGGCCGTGGCTTCGCCTATGCCTGTTTTCTTATTTCTTACAGGGAATTCTTTAAATTAGGTCCATGTGCAGAGGTATGACAAAGAAATAGAGGTATGAGAAAGAACGAAATATCTCTGTAGGTGCCAGAATGAAATATCTCTGTAGGCCCCAAACTACCATCTCAGGTTATGAGTGCAATAATTGAGGTTGTTATCTTCAGCATGTCTGTTATTAGCCCAGTACGGTCCAGAACTGGCCACTGATAATTGGAAAGGAAAATCTCATTGCTCCAATTTGAGTTAGGATTTTTTATTTCTGAAAACAATTTTTCTGTTTTCGTTTTCCTATCTCTAAAGTCTGTGTCTCAAATCATCCATCCCTGAGCAGCTCTGGTGGTTAAAAAGAATGATTTTTTATGTTATTTTAAAGCAGCAAACACCTTTCTTCTTAAATGGAATCTTATTCCTAAAAACGAAGTCGTAGGGAGAATGTCAGCCATAGCTATCTCCAGACCAGTCTTAAAATCACAAGACTAGAGATGCTGGATCTGATTTTATACAAGGGGAAAACTCCCCAGGTTTTCAAGACTGGAATTCGAACTTAATTATGCAGTGGAATTAGAGCCATTTTATTTCACTACAGCATGGAAAAGTGGGCTAACATTCCTGATTTTAGAAACAGGAGTGAGGAAGGAACCACCCTGTGTACGTTCTGAGATGGAAATGTGTCATATGCTTCCTAACCCTGTGCTAGAGAGCTAGAGACGTTACCTCAGCTGGTCCCGAGATGGGGCCAGAGATCTGGACTCAGCTCCGCGTGATGCCCAGAGATGTGAATGATGCTGGCAGGCCCAGCACCTTGCTGGACAGGGAGAAGTCATGAACCAAGGAAAGGGGCAGGAGCACAGCACTGACGGTGTCTCCACACCCCAGTGGATTTCTGGAACAACTGAAGCAGAGGTTGTGTGTCTTCCAGGGTTGTGGCCTGAGAACTCCTTCAGAGTTCTGGCTGGTCTTTGTGTGTGACAGTTCACCCTGTGCACTCAGTCAGCAAAACAGAGCTGCCTTGAAATGCCGTGAATAAATATTGGAAGTGTCTGGCTTTCTTATCACCCCATTTTCCTTCCAGGGATTAAATGGGAGCCAGATGAAAATGGAGTCATTGCCTTTGACTGCAGGAACCGGAAATGGTAGGTACTGGTCAACTTTGTAGTTATTTTTTTAAAGAAAAAACTTGAAGAGAGATCAGCAATCATTTTTGCTTCATTTTCCCTGGACCTAGGTACATCCAGGCAGCAACTTCTCCAAAAGACGTGGTCATTTTGGTGGACGTCAGTGGCAGCATGAAAGGTCTCCGTCTGACGATTGCAAAGCAGACGGTCTCATCGATTTTGGATACCCTGGGGGATGACGACTTCTTCAATATCATTGCTGTGAGTGCAGCTGCTTGGGGCTGGCCGTGCACTTCGGGTTCACATTATGTTTGCTGTTGGGTACAGGGTATCTGGACACCAGGGGATGAGGACAGGCTTGTCCCTGTGTGCTCACTGCATGTAGCCAGCGGAGGAGCTCATGGAGACAGGAAAAGCAGGGGACCACATCTCCGCTCCTATGTGCGCACACAGCCCTATCGCTGGACTTGGTATTCCTGGGAGCTAACATCTTCAGAACCTTGGCGAGCAAACCTAGCAGGAGTTTCCTTAAGCAGCTAGAATTTCTTACTTGAAAACTGAGTTTAAGCTAGATTAGTCTGATGATAACAGCCATGGCAATGAAATAAGTTGAAGGTGGAGAGCAGTTTATAGCTCACAGAACACTTGGTCTCCGCTTTTAAAACAAAGGTGGCGTATATTAAGTCGTCAGGAAACTCATGACGTGTCTTTTTATGCAAAAATGTATCATGAATTTCTCTAGACCCAATATGAAGTGCCTCTTCTGTGTCTTGCTCTTCATGTTTGCATTTGATCTCCTTTCTCATAGCTCTGGGAGGCAGGGCTTCTGGGCATATTCTCAAATGAAGATGCTGAGTTGAGAAGGTGTCAGTCACTCCTAGGAGGTCATGGGGCTGGAACATGGGAGATCCAGGAACCAGCCTGAGGCTGGGCAGCCACAGGTGTCCTGGGAACAAGGACTTCTGTAGGTTTCTCTCTCCAGTTCTTTTTCTTTTTCTCCCTCATTCTTTGTCATGATTCTCATCATGTCCTTTATGTCCATCCCACTCTCTTTCTGAAGACTGATTCCTTTGCAGGTGCTTGCACATGGTGATGCCTGTGCTTTGTCATGTCCCAACTATTTGGGACATAGAGTGGTTGCAGTAGGCAATGGAGGCAGTGTGGTAAGAGGGGTGAGCTTGGGCTTTGGAGTCAGGACTAAGTTTTGAATCCTAATTCTACCAGGCACAGGTGTGTGTCCTGGGCAAACTGCTTCAGTATGAGCATAGCCCCTGAGCTGCGAAGTGGGTGTACCCCTGTCACCAGCAGGGTTGCCGTCGGGTTATCTGAGCTGATGCATGTGTGTCTGGCTGGTACATAAGACTCTCACCAACAGTAGGGAATGAAAGAAGGGCGTGGTTTGAGAATGCAGTTGCTGCTGTCTGCTTGGCTTCCTTGACCCTGGAGCAGAGTGGTATCCAGGCAGCCTTCTGAGGCATGGCTTGCCTAGCATTTACTAGGCCGATGACACGGATGTGGACGTGACGCTGGAGTGGTAGAGTGCATTGTGTGAATTAGTGTTCTGCCTACCAGCTGCTTCTGTGAGACTCAGAACGGAAGGGCACCACTGCAGGGCATGATTTATAGCTTCGGGGTAGTGGTGGTGGTTTTTGTTTAAGGTTTTTGCCGTAGGATGCTCACGCTCAATGGGGAGCAGCAGAGAAAGACGGAGAGAAAGAAAGTGAGAAATCCTCCCCCCAGGAGGGATGGCCACGGTGCAGTCCCATTCTCCTACACACGCGTGCGCATGACACACACACACACACACACACACACACACACACACACATGGCATGATTTTCAAGCTACCAGGTCTGGAACTTGAACCATGGTCAGCCATGTAGGGATCCAGCACCTTAGCCACCACGCCACCTGCTGGCCCTTGTAGCTTCAGGTTTTAAAAGCCCTGAAAAGGGAAAAGAAAGAGAAAGAGAAATTCTTTGAAAGCAGAAGCTTGTCTTATTCCTTTATAGATGTATGCCCACACCTAGGACACTGCTTGGCCTATATTTAATAGTTTAAATATTTGTTGAATGAATAATAGCAGCAGCTGCTTTCCGGAGCACCCACGGGGTGCAAGCCTGTTGCTCCAGGTCCTCGATAGATTATGTCACCTTGAGAGATTGTTAGGTGGATCACCACCTCAGCTCTGTGCCACGTGGCACAAACTGGCACAAAGTAGCAAGTGACTGTCTAGACCTCATAGAGCCAGAACAGTGGCACAGTGAATCTCAGAGACTACCTGGCCTCACCTTGAGCTATTTCCAGAGCAGAAGTGAACAGAGTGTAGTTGACCCACTCAGCCATTTTTCTTTCTCAGTATTTGTCCCTAGGACACAGTTCTTGGGATGGAGACTTTCAAATAGTTAGGACTTAGGGTTTGTTTGTTGGTTGGTTTGTTTGTTTTGGTACATTTTTTGGAGAGGTTTTTGCTATAGGGCTCATGTGCTCACCAGAAAGACAGAGACAGAGAGAGAGAAAGTGACAAATCACCCCCCCGTGGGGGATGGCCACGCCACAATCCCTTCTCCATTTTCCTCTCGGGATCTTGGGCATGCACACACACGCACCCGGCGTGAGTTTAAGCCACCAGGACATGGGTTTTCTGATCAAAGAAAGTTACTCTAGTTGCCAGTTTTCTGTGAATATGCAAATGTGGCCTGATCCCCACGTGTCCTGAAGCATTTACAGATAAGAACCAGCTAATTTGAGACTATCTTTCTTATTAATCTTTAATTACTCATTACAGAAGTATCAGAAATTCACATAATAAGAAGCGCTAACTAATTACAACATGAATCCTTTATCAGTCAGGATTTATTGTTCTCCTAACAAAACCAATCGATTGAAATAATCTATGTAAGTTCATTAAGATATACAAACAGTGTCAACTCAATAATGAAGCGAGGGTGATTAAGATAATTAAAACTAGACATGTCAGTTATTATAGAACAGTTAAGAAAAAATTTATAATTTTTTTTTACCCCAAATTCTTCTCTTCTATAAAGAAAGCCATTAGAGGTCCCATTAACCCTCACTGTACATCTGTTTGTTAGTTCTCAAAATAAATGAGCGGCTTCAAGTCTATTTACATAATTATTTTGATAACTGGAAAGACACTCCGGACGTTTTTATTTGAAGTCTCTATAGTAAAACCATGAACTCTGCCACACTAATGGGCAAGGAAATGCATCAGATATGTTAGTGAACTTATATTAGGAGATCGAGGTCACAAAGGAACCATTAATTAACAGTAAAATTTACATGTGGGTTGCTTTTTTAATGTAGGCAGCAGATGTAAAAAATTTTAAACAATTCAGAAATGTTGTTACTTCCCTTCCATTTTGTACACATTCTTCCAGATTTTCCTATGTATATGAATGCACATGATTTTTCCGCAAACATAGAATCATATTTTACAGAGTACTCAGCAGCTCGTCTCGATATGTGATTGCAGTCAGATGTCACCGAGAGCTGAGACTGGTTCTTCAGGCAGCCCCCTTTGCTGGATTTAATGCTGTAATTGATCTTTGTTCTACATGGAAGTGTTGCAGTGAATGGACTGCATGGGATGGAAGGCATGTATTTTGGCAGGGTTAGGTGTACTTCTTCTGAATAAAATCTAGAAGTGAAATTGCTTTATTGAAGGGTACGCATTTAGGTGCTATCAGAATGTCTGCTATGCAGGCAGAAATGTTGATACACTTAGCAACAGTTCCAGGATCCCAAAGAATAGATTCATCATTGACAAATGTTCATTTGCATTCCTTTGAATTGTCTCTTCCCAACCTATGTGTGATTTGCCAATTTCATCTTGCTGAATTATTATTTTTTTTTCCTATCACCTCCTCCTGTTTCCTCCCTGGCATAATGGCTCTAGTAATAATGGCGTGTCTGTTTAATATGGTCCCTTGCCTCTTGTTAAACGGTGACCCAACTGCACATTCTTAGCCGTGCAGGAGGATGGGGCACTTGCAGTCTCTACTGAGAGTGCCCTTCAAAGCTGTTTGAGTGCATTATTCTTGTGGGCCAGATTCCCTTCATGGGAGAGGACATGACCGTCTCAGCCTCCACTACACTGTCCATCTTCCTTTCTCACTGAGCAGATATTTGAGGAGACACGTCCGTGTTTCTCAAGAACACGTGAAGAATACACTCTTTATTTCCAGTGTCGGAAGCTCTTGTACTTTGTCGGCTTTTGTTTGTACAAATCTAATTCATCATTGCCAATTCATTGCCATTTCATTTTCAGTGCCACAATGGAGAAGGGAGGGGTGAGATTTAAGTAATGGGGAAGGCTTTTCTTGGCCACTCTTAGTCAGTTTTGCATGTTTTCTGAAGTTCATCATGAACTGCAATTTATTTTATTTATTTTAAAAAAATTTTTAAAGAGAGATTTTTTGCTATAGGGTGCGTGCATTCACTGGAGATACAGAAAGAGAGAGAGAGAGAGAAAGTGAGAAATCACCTGCCGGGGGGATGGCCACACCGTAATTCCCTCTCCTCCACTCTCTTCTTGGGATTTTGGGCATGCACACACACATGTCCCGTGAGAGTTTTAAGCCATGGGACTTGAGCCGCGGTGGGCCATGTGGGAGTCCAGTGACATAAATGTTAGGCAATCTCCTGGTCTCGTGAAGCCTATTTTATATATTATACCGAAAGGCTTCTGATCCAGGTTTTCCAGAGAAGAAACATAAAAAGATAATATTAAAATTGTTTTAGCTTTCATAAGCCCAGTATTACAAAATCTACCTAAAACTGATGAACTAACTGATTGACTTATAAAAGAACAGTTGAAATATGAGAGTGATTTTTGTGCAGTTCAAGTTAAAAGTTAAGGTCAAGCCACTGGAGCATGACAAGAGATGTCTCTTGACAAGAGAAAAGGCCTATTTTCCTGATTCACTTTGAAGTCTAACTCCAAGCCATGCATTAAATTAGCAGTATTATCATAAAAATGAGGGTGCTAATTCTGTCCATTGCTGAAATTTGAAAAATGACTTTACAGAAGCCTAAGCCATGCATTAAATGAGCACAGTATTAACTGGGCTGATATTGTTAAATCAATTTCAGTGCCTGCTGCAGCCACATTTGTGCAGAGTTGAATAGAAAGAGCATCATTTGTTAGTTCAACCTGGAACTTACTGGGGCCCTGGTTTTAATTTGCAGAATTTTCTTTAGAACCATTTCTCCATTGCTTTGCCCGCTGTGGATTTGCT